CATTGCTTCTTCTTCAGTTGCTGTCTACCAGCTGACCCAACAATAAAAATTATCACTTAATCTTCAGAGGACAAATTTGGATGTCATTATTGTTTGCTGATAAACTACATAAATAAAACCTATAAAGAGAAATTTTTCCCTGACCCTAAGATTACTATCGAGGCCCAGATATCAGAATCAGATATTTTTAAAACACAAATTCCTCTTAAAAATTTGACCATATAGAAAATCTAACGACAATTTAAAGACAATTTACTGAGTCTTAAAAGAAAATACTATTGTGTCTCCTGTATAACAGTCCTAGTTTAACTGATCCTAATCTATGGATACTTTAATAAGTTTAACTTTAGTGACCTATAATAATAGCAAAGGAAGCAAACATTTACTGAGCATATATTTTGAGCCAAGAATTGTTAAGCACTTAATCCCAGTAAAGCCTCATAAAAACTGTTTCATGTTGGAGTTATTAATGAGCCCCATTTTACAGGGGGAAAAGAGGGAACTGGTTTATGTGACTTGTCCATGATAACAAAACCATTAAACGTGGTAGAATTAGGATATCAACAAGTTGGCCTGACTCTGTACCTCTCATTCACTCTGTACTACTTACAGAATTATTAGGTCTTAGGAAAAAAATAGTATCTGTTTGCTGAATTAAATATTCCTCATTTTAAGAACTTAGTTGAATAACAAATTCAAACATTCAGTCTTGCCAAGGACACTGTGTTCAATCATTGCTGAAACAAACAGGAAAACTCTGCACATCAGTTTATAATCTGAAGCTAGTGTTTGAAAATAAAATACCATTACTTATTCATCTAAAGTTTAGATCATTCTATCCCCATATATGAGACAGAATCCCTTTCATATTCTATTTCAAATCTACTTTAGATTCTCATATTTGCAGTTACAATAACACTACAGTAAATTCGACCACCTAGAAAGCTGCCATACCCTAATCTGACTAGCTTTTCCCAAACCAATTGAAATTCTAACAAAGTTATTGTCTAATTTTTAAATTTGGTCCAAAAAAGGTAAATACACTGTTGATAAAAAACACTGGATGGAAGGCATGAGTGAAAAAAATAATGAATGATGAATTAATTAATTAATGTGAAAAGACAAGAGGTAAAGTAGGAGTGAGGAAAGAATCTATTGGCAAACAATAGACCAATATTTAGCAAGGTTTCTACATATTTTTCTTAGAACATGTTACAGCTTGTGTGTAGATGCCCCCCAGCATGCCTCATGCAGTCATAGGTGGCTGGATCTAGAATGTGTGACTCTGAGATCGATTCATAGTTCAATGCTAGGATCAAGGGCACTACTACTAAGGGTGTGAGTGCTACCTGCCCTATGTAGACTGTATAAGATATAAAGGATAGAAAGCTGTGGTCATCCTTTATTGCTTTGCTACCTTCTGCCTGCCATGAACTGTTTCTCCTCTGCAACGCCTGTCTGCTATGCCACCCTGCCTTGGAGCCAGGCAATTATGGACTGAAACCTCTACAAATTGTGAGCTAGATAAACCTTTCCTCTTTTAACTTTGGGTGTCCGGTATTTTTGTCTCAGCAACAAGAACAGTAAGACAGAATTTTGTACCAGAGAAGTGAAGTCATTTCTGTGACATTACCTGGCCAAGTGGCTCAAGAGCCTTTGGAACTAGCTTGTGGGAAGGGGAAGTTAGGAAAGGTTTGGAGATGCCAGCTGAAAAAGTAGAGCTGGAATGCCTTAGGCTGTACTTGATGGGAGATTCTGGTCAGAGCTCAAAAGACCAGAATGCCGATAAAAATGCTGCTGGTAAAGACCCAGCTCAGGAGGTTTTTGCTGGGAAAAAGGACTGCATTGGCTGTTGAACTTCAGAAATGTATTACAGCTTGGCAATAAATTTGTCTACAATTTGCTCATGTCCAGAGACTTTGCCTAAGGCTGAGATTAAGGGTGTCAGACTAATTGATCTGGCAGTAGAAATTTCAAGATACTCTAATGTTGAAGTGGTGGCATGGCTACTGCTGGGAGCTTTTAGCCAGATTTATGTTGAGAATCAAGAGCAAAGAGCCCAGAAGAATGATTCAAAATGTTGTGAGATTGGCCAGAAAGGAAGCTCCAGTAAAGTTATGGTCTGCAAAGATGGAACAGAGGATAAATTGGCCACTGAAAAGACTAGCAAGGAAAAGCCAAGTATTTCAAAAGAGGACAACAGAGAAGATGACCTGGGGACATCACAAGAACCAACAGGACTCAAGGCTTTGCAGCTTCTGAGTTGCAAAGGTGAAAGAATTTGCTTTGAAGAGAAAGCCCCAGAATACCATGTTCCAGAATCGGTGGTGGCATAGAGAATTTGTTCTCAGGATTGAGTTCAGAGTGCTCAGTGATCCAGGCACTTGACGCCTGTAGCCAAAAGAGAAGGAAGCCTCACTACTGGCAGCAGATCTTGGCATCATCCACATGGTGCCGGTTTTAGGTGCATGCATAATTCAAGAGTTGTGGGGTCAGGAAGGCTTCCACCCAGATTTCAGAAGGCCTGGTAGGCCAGGCACTGTCCCCCTGAGAGAGCAGTGTGTGAAGCTGTGAATGGAAAGCCAAAGGTGCAGTGGAGACGCCAGACATTTGAAGAAGCCAAGAATGTGGACTGTTTGAGCAAAACTGCATGGAGGGAGCAGGCTGACCCCAGAGAGATGCCATGGGAGCTATGACCACCAGCAGTGCCCTAGGGGTGGAGCCACCCCTTTGGAGTTCATAACTTACCACAGATTGCCAGAGATGCTGGAAGTAGAAGTAGAACTGTGGGATTTAATCTTTGCCCTGCTGGATTTTGGCCTTGCTTTGTTCCCATTCCTTGCTATCTCCCTGTTTGTAACTTTTAGAATGGAAATGTTTATCTTGTGCCATTAAATATTGGAAGTGTTTGTTCAGGGGCTCGCAGCTAAGAGTTTGCCTTAAATCTCAGAGGAGACTTTGGACTTGGACTTTTCAGCAATGCTGAAACTGTTAGGAATTTGGCAACTCTTAGAGATGGACTAAATGCCTTTGTGCATGAGTCTTTGAGGGTAAAGGGGTGAACTGTTATGGTTTGTGTCCAGATGTCCCCCTCAAAGCCTCATGCAGTCATAGATGGGCTTTTTCAGAGGTGGCTGGATCTAGGGTGTGTGCTGCTGGGACTGATTCATGGTGTCGTTCTAGAATCGAGGGTACTAGTATTAAAGGTGTGAGTGCTACCCTCCCTAAGTAGCTTAGATAAGATATAAGGGTTAGAAAGAGCTGTAGTCATCCCTTACTGCTTTGCTACCTTCTACTCACCATGAACTGTTTCTCCTCTGCAATGTCTGTCTGCAATGCCACCCTGCCTCCTTGGAGGCAGCTGATTATGGACTGAAACCTCTACACACTGTGAGCTAAACCTTTGCTCCTTTAACTTTGGGTGTCAGGTATTTTATCTCAGCAAAAAGAAAAGTAACTAAGATAGAATGCATGATCTGAGGCTAAACATCACTTTAGCTTTGTTGCTAACCACCTCTAAAATTAGGTCATAGAAGGTCCAATATATGCAGAGAGCTTTTCACATAAGAGACAAGACCCCGTAAGTTTAATCTTTTTTTTCAATCTTTGAGATCAAGTAAAACCTCTTGGACAGAAACTCCTATGCAATAACAGTAAGGGTGTCTATGGCAATGACTCAGTGTCAACAAAAGCAGCCAGGCTAGGCGGCCTTTTACACTGCAGGGTACAATGTACTGTAACTGAGAGCTGAGCTAAAGGGTACAGCTTCCTCAGTAACAGTGGACACAACTACTGAGCTCTTAGTGTATCTCCACGGTATAGATGAGAGACTGAAGCTCAGAGGCACTGACCAGTCCAGACTCACAGTTTGAAAAAGATGGATTTACACTTGCATCCGACTCTATAGATTAAGCCCCTTGTGCTAGTCCAGGCTACCTCTTTCAGTGTTGCCCCAAATCTAAGGAAACTAGATATAAAGGTGTGGCACAAAATTAATGATTATCTATGAATCATGATGAGACCAAAACAAGCACAATTGATTTAGTATGGTGGCTGGATTAAAGGTGAATATTTACTTTTTAATTTTATTTCATCATCCTGTAGAAGATACTATGGTGTTGTTTAAGTAAGACTATCATTTTTTAATTAGTGAAATTCTACAAGCTTTAAATGTCATTACAACCCACCCTAATGCTAAGTCAAACTAAACACTATTTCTCTGGATCATGCCTTAGTCTCTGCATATGTCGAAGCATCTACTGAGGAGTTCTTGGATAACATCATTTAAATTTTTTTAATATAAAACCCTCTTGGACCATATGCTCATTTCACTCACTCTAGATTGCCATATTTGGCTCTTTTCACAATTTAACATAAAGGACATTTATGCAGAGGTCTACTTGTAGAAAAAAATTATAAACTCAACCATATCTTGCACTGAGTTGGGTTTTACCAAAGCACACTTGCTAACATTAAAATTTAATTTTAAGTTCTGATTGGTATCAAGGGTGTTCACCCTTTTGTCACTGGAGGAGGGTTGATTTCCATAAAGCACAAAGTAAAGGCAGATGTGAAAACTTCCTGCCCTCAATATACTCATTTTACTTGAAATTCTCCAGTATGTTCTCTGTCCTACGTCCCAGGGCTTAGTGGTTGCTCAAGACGCTGATGGAGTTTAAAGACTCGCTAGAGAAAATTGAAAAAGTTAACCAACTCACGAAGATTGACATTAAGTAGGTAATCTGGGAAGCTAAATGTCCTGCAGGGCCAAAAGAAATGTCTCCACACCCACCAATGAGAATACCGCCCTTCTCCACTGAGCAGCACTGGTAGGCTGAAAGCTGGTCCTGTCCTCCAGAATGATGGGCCACAAATGTTGTGCCTCATCATCTGGATATTTTAGGCATCCTGGAGCAAAGAAGGAGAATCATATTGCTCAGGGGTAGGAAGAGATTTTGAAAATATGTAATTACCACTAATTACGTTACTTGATTCTTTAGGAAAATGTGGAAGACGGCCGAGCAAGTATCTACAAATCTGTCATCACCAACACCAGCAAAGAAATGTCCTGTTTCAGTGACTTTCCAATGCCTGAAGATTTCCCAAACTTTCTGCACAATTCTAAACTTCTGGAATATTTCAGAATTTTTGCCAAAAAGTTTGATCTTCTAAAATATATTCAGTTCCAGGTATTGTACTGTGGGGGAATCAGTTTTTCTTTATTGATCCAGTTCCCATTTAAATAATAATTTAAAAAACACTGCTCTGCTGATGAAAAAGCTGTGAATAAGCTATCCCACTGCAATTTTTTTGTTGAAGTGTAGGAACATGACACCAAACCCTAAAAGTAGTGTAATTACCCCTGACATTATAGATTGTTTATATTAACAGAAGGGAATCATCTGTTAAAGTTTGAATGATGATAATATTGATGGTAAAACTACATTTAAATTAATATTATGTTACCACTGAATGTTCTTAGCTTCATTTCCCTTGAAAAGATGTATGGAAAAAAGTCAAACTACTGTTAATTTTTTTAACTTCTCTATAAAAATGAGATTTCTTAGATATGGGTTTTTAAAACTCCCCATTCTCCCTTCATTTCAGAAAGCTTTGGAAATAATTTTTGCTAATTCTTTTTTCTGGAGCTCAGGAACATGATGGAATCCCAACATAGGAAACAAATGGAATTGATAAAACAGATGCAAATAGATGACTTTTGGTGGAGTTCTTGGGGTCTTCTATATACAGTGTCATGTCATCTGAAAATGACAATTTGACTTCTTCATTTCCTATCTTTATTCCTTTTATTTCTTTCTCTTGTCTAATTGCCATGGCTAATGTTTTCAGAACTATATTGAACA